ACCAAGCAGAAGAAAGAATATCAGACCTTGAAGACTATCTTGCTAAATAAGAGAGGCAGACAAGATTAGAGAAAAAAATAAAAAGAATGAACAAAACTTCCAAGAATTATGAGATTATGTAAAAAGACCAAACTTGTAACTGATTGGGGTACCTGAAAGAGATGAGCAGAACAGAGCCAAGCTGAAAAACACACTTCAAGATATCATCCAGGAGAATTTCCCCAACCTAGCAAGACAGGCCAATATTCAAATTCAGGAAACGTAGAGATCCCCAGTAAGATTCTCCATGAGAAAATCAACTCCAAGACACATACTCATCAGGTTCTCCTCTAAGATTGGATCAAAACAAGGGTGCCCACTCTCACCATTTCTTTTCAACATGGTACCGGAAGTTCTAGCAAAAGAAATTAGGCAAGAGAAAGAAGTAAAAGGCATCCTAATTTAAGAAAGAAAGGTGAAAAAAAGAAGTGAAATTGTCTCTATTTGCTGATGACATAATTTTATATACAGAAAACCATGCGGATTCTACAAAAAAACTTATAGAACTAATAAATGAATTCAACAAAGTTGCAAGATACAAAGTCAACATACAAAAATCAGCAGCATTTCCACGTACTAAAAATGAACTACCTAAAAGAGAAATCAAAGGAAAATTATTCTGTTTACAATCACAATTTAAAAATTAAATATGTGCATATAAGTTTAACCAAGGAGGTAAAAAAAATCTATATACTGAAACCTATAAAACACTGATGAAAGAAATTAAACAAAAAAAGAAAATATCCCATATTCAGAGACTAGAAGTGTATTGTAAAACTGTCCATACTACCAAAAGCAATGTATAGATTCAATGCAATCCCTATCAAAATTCTAATGTCATTTTTCCCAGAAATTTTTTTTAATCTTTAACTTTGTATGGAACAACAAAAGACCCACAATAGCCAAAACAATTTTGAGCAAAAAGAAAAAACCTGGAGGCATCTTGAAAGTACACCCTGCTTTCAAAACATATTATAAACTGATTGTAATCAAAACAGCATACTTACATAAAATAGAAACATCAACAAATGAAATAAAAAAGAAAGCCAAGAAATGAACCCACATGTTTAGTTAATTGATTTTTGATAACGTTGCCAAGAACACAATAGGGAATAATAGTCTTTTCAAAAGATGGTCTTGAGAAAACTAGACATCCACATACACAAGAATGAAACTGGATCTTTGTCCTGCACCATATACAAAAATTAAGTCAAAATGGATTAAAGACTTAAGTATAATAGCTGAAACTGTAAAACTACCAAAAGAAAAAAATAGGAAAGAAAAGGTCCATGACGTTGGTCTGATTGTTGATTTTTTTTGGATATATGACCTTGAAAGCATAACCAGCAAAGGTAAAAATAGACAAATGGCATTACATCAAGCTAAAAAACTTCTACATCACAAAGGAAACAACAAAGCAAAGAAATAGCCCATAGCATGGAAAAAAAATTTGCAAGCCTTACATCTGATAAGAAGCTAACACTGGAGAGAAATCCAAGATGGCTGATTACTAGCAGCTCAGGATTGTAGCTCCCAGTGAAAGCACAGAGAATGAGAGGATGCCACACTTTCAGACGAATTTTTGTTGCTCACGACCAGGAGATTCCCAGCAGAGGAGCCCCATGGGTCGCCAGTGCGACTCTTGTGGCTGGCACGGCGGTCCTTGGTGCAGAGTAAACAGGACTGGCTCCCCTTTTGATCGATGTTTGGAGCTCTGGGAAAGCAGAGTCGCCTATTCAGCTGACTAAAAAAGGGACTCAAGAAGGAAGCCAGACCAGAGATTCCTGGGCAGAAAAGCACCACGAATCTTAACGCCGCTGTTTTGGCCGGTGCAGTGGGTTGCTCAGATTCCGGTGCTGGGAATCAGCAAGTTGGACGTCCACTCAGAGACCTAATTTGAAAGTCGGTAATTACAAAGACAACCGGTGGATAAATTTACAATGATGAGAAGAAACCAGTGTAAAAAGGCTGAGAATACCCCAAATCAGAATGCCTCTCCCTCCACAGGGGATCACAGTTGCTCATCAATAAGGGAACAAGGCCTGATGGAGAACGAGTGCGTTCCATTAACAGATTTAGGCTTCTAGATTTAGGCTTCTATCCACCTTTTAGAAGGTGGATAATAAGAAACTTCTGTGAGTTAAAAGAACGTGTTCTAGCCCAGGTGTCCCCAAACTTTTTACACAGGGGGCCAGTTCACTGTCCCTCAGACCGTTGGAGGACCACCACATACTGTGCTCCTCTCACTGACCACCAATGAAAGAGGTACCCCTTCCTGAAGTGCGGTAGGGGCCAGATAAATGGCCTCAGGGGGCTGCATGTGGCCCGAGGGCCGTAGTTTGGGGACGCCTGTTCTAGCCCTATGTAAAGAAACTAAGAACCTTGAAAAAAGGTTTGATGAAATCCTAACGAGAATAGACAATCTAGAGAGGAATATAAGTGAATTAATGGAACTGAAGAATACTAGAACTCCATCAAGTATTCACAGGTTTTCACAGTTGAATTGATAAAGCAGAAGAAAGGATGTCAGAGGTCAAAGACCAGCTTAATGAAATGAAACGAGAAGGCAAGATTAGAGAAGAAAGAGTAAAAAGGAATGAGCAAAGTCTCCAAGAAATATGGGACTATGTGAAAAGACCGAATCTACATTTGATAGGTGTACTTGAATGTCATGAAGAGAATGAATCCAAGCTGGAAAATATTCTTCAGGATATTTTTCAGGAAATAACCTAGTAAGGCAGGAAAATACTAAACTTCAGGTAATACAGAGAACACCACAAAGATATTCCTCAAGTAGAGCAACCCCAAGACACATAATCATTAGATTCACCAGGGTTGAAATAAAGGAGAAAATTCTAAGGGAAGCTAGAAAGAAAGGTCAGGTTACCCATAAAGGGAAGCCTATCAGACGCACAGCAGATCTCTCAGCTGAAATCCTACAAACTAGAAGAGAGTGCGGGTCAATATTCAATATCCTCAAAGAAAAGAAGTTTCAACCCAGAATCTCATATCTAGCCAAATTAAGCTTCATAAATGAAGGAAAAATAAAATTTTTCATGAACAAGCAAGCACTCAGAGATTTCATCACCACCAGGCCCGCTTTATAAGAGCTTCTGAAAGAAACACTATACACAGAAAGGAACAACCAGTATCAGTCATCCCAAAAACTTACCAAAAGGTAAAGAGTATCTCCATAATGAAGAATCTGTATCAACTAATGGGCAAAATAGCCAGCTAGCATTAAACGACAATATTAAACTCACAAATATCAGTATTAATCCTAAATTTAAATGGATTAAATGCCCCAATCAAAAACACAGACAGGCAAATCGAATAAAAAGTCAAAACCCATCAGTTTGCTGTATCCAGATCCATCTCATAAACAAGGACACACAAAGACTCAAAACAAAGAGTCAGTGGAATTAAATGGAGAGAAAAAAAAAAAAAAAGAAAAGAAAACAGGAGTTGTAACTTTCGTCTCTGACAAAATAGACTTTAATAGTAATAAAGACTAAAAGAAACAAAGAAGGACATTACATAATGGTAAAAGGATCAATGCAACAACAAGAGTCAATGATCATAAATACATATGCACCCAGTATAGGAACACCCACAAACATAAGAGAAGTTCTTAATGACTTATAAAGAGACTTGGACTCCCACACAATAATAGTGGGAGACTTTGACACCACATTGTTAATATTCAACAGATTAATGAGATAGAAAATTAACAGGGACATCTATGATTTGAACTCAGACCTGGAACAAGTAGACTCAGTGAATATTTACAGAATTCTTCACCCCAGGTCCACAGAACATACATTTTTCTCAGTATCATATTACACCTATTTTGAAAGTGACCACATAATTGCAAGTAAATCACGCTTCAGCATTTGCATAGCATTTCACAGACTTAAATGAAATTCTGGTTGGCTGTTTTTTTTTTTTTTTTTAATTTTCTTCCCTTATTCCTTCCTGTCTCCGCTGTTAAGCACAATTATTGGCATAAAAGAGGTTTTTAATACCTATTTTTAGATTGCATTCCAGCCCAGGCAATAGAGCAAGACTCCTGTTCTCTCTCCCCCTCTTTCTTTCTTTCAAATAAATAAATAAATAAATAGAAGAAGCAAATACTCAAATTTTGTAAGAACTCAATTCAAGAGCCAAAAGTATTAATAACCCAATTAAAAAATGGGCAAAAGGGCCAGGTGCGGTGTCTCAATCCTGTAATCCTAGCACTTTGGGAGGCCAAGGTGGGTGGATCACGAGGTCAAGAGATCAAGACCATCCTGGTCAACATGGTGAAACCCCATCTCATCTCTACTAAAAATATAAAAAATTAGCCGGGCATGGTGGTGCGTGCCTGTAATCCCAGCTACTCAGGAGGCTGAGGCAGGAGACTTGCCTGAACCCAGGAGGCGGAGGTTGCGGTGAGCCGAGATCACGCCATTGCACTCCAGCCTGGGTAACAAGAGCGAAACTCCGTCTCAAAAAAAAAAAATGGGCAAAGGACCTGAACAGACATTTTCTAAAATGACACGAAAATAGTCAACAGATAACTTAAAAAAATGTTCAGCATCACTAATTATTAAGAAAATGCAAGTCAAAACCAGAATGAGATATCATCTCACACCTGTTAAGAGTAGCTTTTTTAAAAAAGATGAAGGATAAAAAGTCTTGGCAAAGGTACAGAGAAATAGGAACTCCTGTACATTGTTGGTGGGAATGGAAACTAGTATAGCCATTATGAAAACTGGTATGGTAGTTCCTCAAAAAACTAAAACTAGAAGTACAGTATGATCCAGTAATCTCATTGCTGGCCATACACTCAAAGGAACTGAAATCAATATGTTGAGGGGACATCTGTATGCCTGTGCTGATTGTTGCGTTATTCACAATAGCCAGTCTATGTAATCAACCTAAGTGTCCATCAGTAGATAAATGTATTTTTAGAAGTGTGGGTGGCCACTTTGCCAACACATATACTAAAATTTGAACAATATAAAGAAGATTAGTATGGTCCCTGTGCAAGGATGACATGCAAACTTATGAAGCATTACACATTTTTATGTGCTACCTACAAGACACTCATTTATAAAGATACACATAGACTGAAAACAAAGAGGTGAAAAAAATTCTATGCAAATGGAAATCAAAAGTGAGCAGGAGTATCTGTAAGTATATCAGATAAAACAGACTTTACATCAAAAACAGTTTAAAAAGACAAGAATGTCATTATATAATAATAAAGTGTCAATTCAGCAAGAGATGTAATAATTCTAAATATATCTAAATGCTAAATACATGCACGTGACACCAGAGCACTCAAATTCATAAAACAAATATTGCTAGACTTACCTCAGCACCCCACTCATAGCATTAGACAGATCAGTGAGACAGAAAATGAACAAAGAAACACTATACATAATTTAGACATTAGACCAATAATAATAGACATTTACAGAGCATCCAACAACTACAGATTATACATTCTTCTCATCCGCACATGAAACATTCCCTCAGAAGGACCATACATTAGGCCTCAAAACAAACAACAACAAATTTTTACAAATTAAATCATATCAAGGATCATCTCAGACCACTGTGGAATAAAACTAGAAATCAATATCAAGAGGAAGTTTGAAAACTATACAAATACATGGAAATCAAACAACATGCCCTTGAATGATCATTGAGTCAATAAAGAAATTAAGATGGGCTGGTCATAGGAGCTTACACCTCTAATCCCAGCACTTTGGGAGGCTGAGGCAGGCAGATTACCTGAGGTAGGGAGTTTGAGACTAGCCTGGCCAACATAGGGAAAGCCTGTCTCTACTAAAAATACAAAAACTAGCTGGGTGTGATAGCGCATGCCTGTAATCCCAGCTATTCGGGAGACTGAGGCAAGAGAATCACATGAACCCAGGAGACAGAGGTTGCAGTGCACCGAGATCACGCCACTGCACTCCAGCCTGGCAACAGAGACTCTGTCTCAAAAAAAAAAAAAAAAAAAAAAAAAAAAAGATGAACATTTCTAAAAATTTTTTGAAACAAATGAAAATAAAAACACAACATACAAAAACCTATAGGATATAGCAAAATCAGTGCTAAAAGGACAGTTTATAACATTAATGCCCATATTAAAAAATAGAAAGATCACAAATTAACAACCTAACATCACACTTCAAGGAACTAGAAAAACAAGAACAATCCAAACCCGAAGTTAGCAGAAGAAAAGAATTAACAAAGATCATAGCAGAATAAAACAAAATAGATACAGATACAAAAAATATGAAGCACTAGTGATACAAAAAGTTGGTTCTTTGAAAATATAAACAAAATTGATCAACTGCTAGCTAGACTAGCCAAGAAAAGATGCAAATAAACAAAATCCAAAATGCAAAAGGACACACTACATCTGATACCACATAAATATAATAGATCATCAGGGACTACTATTAATTCCTATGTACCCACAAACTAGAAAACCTAGGAGAAATGGATAATTCCTGGAAACATACAATCATCCAAGATGGAACCAGGAAGAAGTAGAAAGCCTGAACATATCAATAATGAATAATGAGATTGAATCAGTCATTTTTAAATCTCTTAACAAAGGAAGGGTCAGGACCAAATGGATTCACAGCTAAATTCTACCAAATTTACAACTGAGGACTAGTATCAATCCTCCTGATTGGTTCCAAATAATTGAAGAGGAGGGACTTCTCCTTAACTCATTCTACAAGGCCAGGATCACCCTGATATGAAAATAAGAACAAGACAAAAAAAAAAGAAAGAAAGAAAGAAAGAAAACTGCAAATCAATATCCCTAATGAACATTGGTGCAAAAATTCTCAACAAAATACCAGCAAACCAAATTTAACAACACATTGAAAAGATAATACGCCATGATCAAGGGACTTTTATACCAGAAATGCAAGAATGGTTCAACATATGCAAACCCGCAAATAGATACATCACAGAAACAGAATGAAGAACAAAAATCATGTGGTCATCTAATAGATGCTGAAAAAGCATTTGATAAAATTAAGCATCCCTTTACCATAAAAACCCTCACCAAACTAGGCATCAAAGGAACATACATCAAAATAGTAGGAACCATACATAATAAACTCATAGCCAGCATCATACCAAACGAGAAGAAGTTGAAAGCACTCCCTCTAAGAATTGGAACAAGACAAGGTTGCCTACTTATGCCACTCTTATTCAACATGGTACTGGAATTCCTCACCAGAGCAATGAGGCAAGAGAAAAATATAAGACATCCAAATTGAAAAAGGGAAAGTCAAATTATCCCTGTTCACTGATGATATAATCTTATATTTGGAAACCCTAAAGACTCCATCAAAAATCTCTTAGATTTAATAAATGAATTCAGTTCAAGTTTAAGGATGCAAAATTAATGTATAGATATCAGTACCATTTCTATACACCAGTAATGCTCTAGCCAAAGATATTAGTCAAAATAATATTAATAATTTTTAAAAAGTAAAACCTTCTGCTCTACAAAAGATACTATTAAGTATAAGAAAAGACTATCTAAAGACTGAGAGAAAATATTTCCCAAAAAGGACTGAATATATTTCCTGAATATGTAATAAATTATCTTTATATAATTATATTTAATTTATAAAAATATATTTATATATCATGAATTATATATTTCCTGAATATATAATGAATTCTTACAACCTAATAATAGGACAAACACCACAAAAAAAAAAATCTTTAAAGGGAATAATATAGGCATTAAAAAGAAATTATTTAGGCAGATAACGAAGGTACAGGAGTCTTCGTAAGGATTTTCTTTTATATAAAAAGCACCCCAAAATCATTTCTTTTCTAACAGAAAGCAGCAAGCATAGAAAAATCAAGCTGCAAGCATAGATAAGCAGGCCTAGGTGAATACCCGCAGGTATGCCCAAGGCCAGGTATATACAACATGGAGGTTTTCTTCTCCGTTCTCCTTGTCGCTCTGTGTGCGATGTCACTGCCAGCCAGCCAGGTGGAAACCACATCCGCATAATAAAAGATTAGGGTGGGAGAGCCAGCCTCTCTGTGGACTATGTAAATGCCACACCTAGCCCTATGTAAATCAGACACCGCCTCCTCAAGCCCTCTATAAAACCAGCCGCTTCCCACCTCCACCAGGGAGATCACGTGGGAACTCTGTCCCCCTACGCAGGGGAGCTTTCCTCTTGTTTCTTTCACCTATTAAACTTTCTGTTCTTAAATCCACTCCGTGTATGTTCCCATATCTTCGTTCTCCTTAGCGCAAGACAACCAAACTCAGTTTTTTCCCCAGACAAAACCGCCCGATTGCGGAGACTGGCTCAGGATCAGAATCAGAACAGACGGTGTATTCATCAGAGCAGTGAGCACAGGTGCAGACCTTCACTTTCACCTCTGTCCCTTCTTTTCGAGGCTCTCGGCCTCCATTTTAAAATCAGATCAGGCGGGGTGCGGTGGCCCAGGCTTGTAATCCCAGCACTTTGGGAGGCCGAGGCGGGTGGATCACAAGGTCAGGAGTTGGAGACCAGCCTGACCAACATGAAGAAACCCCGTCTCTACTAAAACTACAAAATTACCCAGGCGCGGTGGGCCCCTATCATCCCAGCTACTCGGGAGGCTGAGGCAGGATAATCGCTTGAACCCGAGATGTGGTGAGCCGAGATCGCGCCATTGCACTCCAGCCTGGGCAACAAGAGTGAAACTCCATCTCAAAAAAAAAAAAAAAAAAAAAAAAAACCGTAATAATAATAATTTAATTCAATTTAAAAATAAAATTAAAATCAAATCAAACCAAATAATGGGCATCCTACATCCATCTAAATGCTGACAGGGCGGCCGCCATTCTTGAAGTCTCGGATGTTAGGCCTGCTTAGGAGAACATGGAAAACCTCCCAATACGCACGGGTCATCGGGCATGTTGGCCATTCTTCGAACCTGTTTCCTTTCACGGAAGATATAGCCGTCACTTGGGGCAGGAAAAGGTCCTTAAGCAACTGAAGATTTCTGGCCAGGGCTACACCCTGGTGTTCCGCGAGGGCTTCTGGACTGACCCCAGCTTCCATCCCCAGACTGGGGTGGGCAACAGGATCTCCAGCTGTCCTGTCGCAACATTTCCTGCTTTCCTATCCGCAATGGCCATGTCTCCTCTCCTCTCTGTGTATGCAATGTGTGAGAGGCTTTACAGCTTAGGGAAATAGTCCTGTTAGGAAAGATCAGCGAATGCCACAGTAACTGGGAATACAGCACAAAGGAATGCTGTGTTCTGTGATTTTCTAAGAGCAAAGAGAGGCACAAAGGAATGCTGTGTTCTGTGATTTTCTAAGAGCAAAGAGCCTCTCTCAATAAGTATCTCTCTCTACCATTCCGCTGGGAAGCACATGGTATTTCTAGGTCAACATCGCCACCTAGTGGACTAGGACTCCTCTCCATGAGGCACATTGTCGGTCCTCTGCTGTAACACTCTAGCTTCCCAATTCTCCTCCCTTTTGCACCCCTATACCAGAGACCAGGCTTTATGCCCCTTCTGTGAATGGGAAAACTCTGCCTTCAACAATTAGGAGTAAAATGTCCTCCAAAGCCAAATTTTAATTCTGATACTGTCCCATCAGCAAGAAAAAAATGCCATTAGTTCCCTACATTCTTTTAAGACACTCATTCTGCCCCCAGTTAAAACAGTACTTAATTAGTAAGGAGGTTTCAAGTCCAGAAGTTAGCTGGAACCATTCTCTTAGGGTAAATCATTCTCTAAATGCCTGAGATTGGGTAATTTAGAAATAAAATAGGTTTATTTAGCTCATGGTTCTGCAGGCTTGGAAGTTCAAGGACACTGGTGAAGGCATCGTAACATGGCAGAAAAGGTCAAAGGAGAAGTGAACAAGTGCAAAGAGTGTAAAACCTGAAGAGCATCCTGGCTTTATAACAACCCATTCTTATGGGAACTAATCCATTCCTGTGAGAACTAATCCAGTGTTACCGGAGTGAGAATGCAAAGCCATTTCATGAGGGATCCACCCCCATAACCCAAACATTTCTCAC